AAAATGTATACGTGCCTGTCAAAGTACAGGGTTTGTTTAGAAAGGTTTTTTCAAAGCTGTGCACTGACACTCAGTGTGTATTCTAAAAACAGTAACAATGCTTACCTTATTGTAGGTAAAATATGCTTAGGGTCTTGGTGTAAAACCTCATATATCACTAAGCTAGTGACGAGACCCGAGATTGTCCAGATCACAAGAATGAATGGCAGTATTGCTAATCCTTCACATGCCATCTTAATTACATTAAAGTATAATCACACTGAGGCTCTTGAACAATCTCCAAAATGAGTGCAGTCTGCAGCAGAGGTTTCACCAGGTATACAGTGAGTATGTCTACATGAGCATACAAAGTTTCATAGTCTGTGATCTCATGATTATGTTTGTGATGTCATTGAACTTCTGACTTTTTTTATTCAAAACTTTATTATCAGATGATGGAAGATACATCACATAGATACTTTCCTTTAACACCAAAGTCACATCAAAAAGTGTCTCCCCACAATCCAGCTTTCAAAACAAGTAAAGATAGTGAGATAACATAAGCGAGTGAACTGATTAATAAAGGACTTTAGCATAAAAAATAAAAAAAAAGGAGAGAAAATTTTCTGTGTGTTTGAGAGTAGGACCATTATGCCTAGTGAGGTTTCATGAGTTTTGGAATGTTTCCCAAGGGAGCAATATTTTTCTCAATAACAGAAATCATATTTCTAACTTGTGCTGTTAGTTCATACATTAGATTATCCTTAATCTGTACGAATACCATCTCTATGATAGGCAGTTTTGTGCTTAACCATGTGTGAGCTAATGAGACAGGGGTGGGAGCGCAGTCTAAAGCAGGACCACCAAAGGTGGAACGCATGCCTGAACACCGCAAGTGGCTGGGTGTAAAGAACTGTTCCACACTATCCACTAGAGCCTGCAATAGTGAGGAAGTGTCAGAAGTGGCCCATGTTAGTAGGAGAGGTTTCTCCTGAAAAGTGCAAGCATATAATTCTATATATTTTGAATTAAAGATTTGTACAGAGAGCACTGGTTCTGTTTTATGTTTTTTTTTTCTAGATGGACAGTTCCGTAACAAAGTAAGGGACCTTTGTTTATGGCCCCTTGCTTACATTTGGATACATATGGATTTATGTACTTTTTTCATTGTGATTAGCCACTTGAGTACTAGAATACCTACAGCCCCATTTGGAGTGACTAGTTTATTCTGTAACAGGAGTTTCCAAATAGTGGCTGATAACATGCTTTTAAACTACATCTAAACTATATTTTCTCAAGTTGTGGTCTACTACAGCCCATGGTGGCTTTTGGATATTTTTAATTGGGACTTTTCATCTGGGCTGATTTAGTGTCTAAGTCTTAATTATTCTCCTTTGTTTTAATATATATTCATATTTGTATTATTGTTTTGTTTTTTTTCTAAGTACCACCTTTCTGATGTTGTCTTAAAGAAGATTTCTTGTTTAGCTTTATTTTACAGTTGACGTTTATTTTGTCTCCTCCCAATCAGTACCCTGTGGGACCTTCCCCAGTCTTCTGAGGAAACCTATATCCTGCATGAGTGACACAGCTACCTCATACTATCAGTTCGGCTTTCTTCGGGCCTTGTCAGTGTGGTTTAACTGATTTTAGGTAGAGGGAGCAAGAGGTCTACTTTTTGTAAGCTTTCTAAGCTGAGCTAGGGAGACTTCCGATATAGGCAAGAATGCTAGAAACCGATTTTTTGAAAAGAAGGAAAACTTGCTCTTTAGTTAGTCACAAGTGTCATTATAGAGAGAACCGACTGATCTCACGCACAAAGGTATTTCAGAACTAAAATTATTGCAGGTTTCCTATACACAAGAAAGAAAGACAGCTGCTCTAGATGTCTGTTTTTGTTGTTGTTTGAAAATCTCTTTTTTTTTTTTAAATATCTTGATCTTTATTCTTTTTCGAAGTGTTAGTAAAACATACATAAAATGTACAAAACAGACACCATCTAAATTGTACCACATGCAAGTAATAATGCAATAGGTGTATATCCAGTGACAAGTATTTTAAATAAATAACAGTACATCTACATCAATTGGCTCATGGATATAACGTGATAAGTATCAAAAGTAGGTACAAATAGACTTGGGAGCTTATCAGGACATAAAAAGGAATAAAACAAAAAGTTTACATTTCTTGATGGCAGGCCTTTAGTGTAGGGGAGGAGTTTCATAATGTAGAGTTCTCCTATTTACAGGGTGGAACTGCTACTGTAAAGTGTCTTATTATGTCAGAGTCTGGACATAGAACTAGGGAAAGAAAAAAATTGATACTAATATAATTTAATAACTCACCTGGAGATATACTGAATTTTGTTTGTAGTTCAACAAAGGATTTTAACGTGGCATTGTCATAAAGGTCTGATATTGCATTTGTTGTAGATAATTTACTGCAAACCAATTAGTTTGAATGACTATCTGTTCCTGTCCAAATTAAAGATAATAAAGTTGCGTGCACGCAGAAGTAAATTCACACTGAGACACAGAGTTCAGGTTAATGAAAGAACTTCGGAGAAGTTTAATGGCTTCTGCCAGAAAATGGGTGCGCAGACCCTTTTAAAGGCATTATTACATCACTGAAGAATTCAAGATAACAGCAAATAGACACTATTGATTGGTCCAGGTGTTAAGTGGTTAGTTAGATACCCTCCTATCAAGAGGTGATGTCATCCTTGACACGGGAGTGGACACAAGATGTAGGCGCCATCTTGTTAGCACGAGGTGTTCACTCGATGGGAGGGGTGCTTTGGCAGCCATTTTGAGTAGTTAGTATTGTTAGCTTCAAGGTTTTTTTAGTAAATACACATTTTATTATTCAGCACATTTCCTCCTGACAAAGCATTAGCTTAGATAATTTCAAGAATTCTATAATTCTACAACAGTCCCCCCTTAAAATGTTAGTTACTAAAAGATAAACTTTATTTGTTAGTATCAGAAGATGTGTTAGCCCAAAGACACAGAAACCCCATGACCGCTGACTTAGTGTTAATGCAAAGTGCAAGTCTATCCCTCTCTTGACCCTAACAGACTGCAGCACATCCGTCAGTATGGTTCAGGAACACTCTTCACTCCGCTGGTAACCCATAGTGGCTTATCCACGACAGTCTACCCATAAAGACGGACGCTGTCCCTGTACTGTCCCTTCCTAGACTTTCTGCACTTCATCAGTATAAGGGAGAGTTTGTAGCGGAATACAGGGTGATGTGAGATCTCGATTGTAACGGACCGTTTTGCACACAAGGGGTAAAAACCGTTTAGGCGATCGGCCCCCTTTCTAGAGATACAGGCACAGCTACTGCAAAACACCAAAACTCACGAACTGGATACAAAATAGCACTCCAACTCCCGAACTGGAACCTCACGAATAGCTGCCAGCAGACGAACAGGAAAAGCTCCCAAGCGGCTTACACTCCTGGCAATCAGTCTCCAACAGCATACAGTGAATCCCCCCAAGAACGAGACAAGGCTCCGTGTTGAGGGTCAAGCAGTGGTCTGAGGTGCTGGCACACCCAGCCTGGTTTTTATTACAGTGTTTCAAATACAGGACCACCCACAGGGAGGGATAAAACAACCAATCATATCACAGTTACATCCCACATATTCCCTCCCCTTATCCTGAGAGGAAACTCAATTATACAAACAGTTAAAACATACTTTCTACCCAACTTTCATAACTCCAAAACCATACATCACATTCACATAAAATTACATATTCTCAATCAATCCATTCAGGGGAACAACATATTCAAAAATGGCACAAATCAGACAAGGGGTTCAAAAGTTAGTAAAAAGTCCTTTGTGACTAAATGAAGCATGGCTTTCTGGCCCAAACCAGTTTCAGAGTCTTCTATCCTGGAGAGTAATTCAATTATCTCCCAGGACAGACACAAGACTCCATTAAGCACATGGTTGCAAAAAGACACAAAACACTTTAAAATACATAAAGTCACATTTATTACATAAAACACAGACATGTAACATATCCCCAGATAGCTCAGGTCTGAGCGCACATTATTAAGCGAATGGCGCTCAGACCACACGAATACAGCTTTTCTCCAGGCGAAATAAAGTCTTTTAAAAGGGGGCCATAGTCCAGAGGCAGCAGGCGAGCAACCAGGCTTCTCCAATGCAATGTGGCGAGATTGGTCTCGTCACATCGATCATCGATTGTCAGATGAGTGAAGGTTGGTGTTGCTTGGTCTACAGTTTTCTGCAGGAATTTCCTTAGGCATGGGAGGAGACAACAAATGAGAAGAGCGAGAATAAAAAGAAAAATTAGTAAGGCAATACCAATCTGGACTAAAGCTCTCTGCCAACCAGTCATCCAACCAAACCATTTTCCCCAGGGATCAGTAACTCCAGAGTTTCTCTTTAACTCTTCTGAGAGTCTATTTAATTTAGCTATGGCCAGAGTGACTTTACCATTAGGACCTGTGTTTTCTGGGATATAAGTGCAACAAGTCATGGTGTCAGGTAGTATTTTACATACACCCCCCTTTTCAGCTAGAATCATGTCTAAGGCCATTCTGTTCTGGAAGGTCATCTGGGATGTGGCCTGCAACTGCTCGGCCAGGCCCTGGAGGGCATCCCTGGTGTAGTTGACAAAACGCTGTTGGTTGTAATAAATGTAGTTAATCCAATTAAGGTTTTTGTTGGCAGTGACTATGGTAAAAAGTGATTCAAAACCTACAGCTACTTCATCTCTAGCTTTAAATTCATTAGGCACCCCCCTAGGTACCCCAATGGCATCTATATAAATGTGGGGGTCAAAACTGCCTTTTACTGGGGTTTCGCGCCTCACTCTGGCTGGTGTATGTGGAGGGTCGTATGTGTCATGATGATTATCAGAAATAATATGAATGGGCATGATAACTTTGGCTAGGGTACACTCACCCCACCACTCAGTTTCCAGCCTAGATCTTAACTGTAGATCCCCACATAACCAGTAAATATCCCCCAATGACCTGGTATGGTGTTGCAACAGGCGTATAGGAACAGTTCTGTAAGTGGCGCAATAACCTTTAGAAAAATTACCCATGAATTTACCAATCCCGTCATACATGGCATAACAAGTGTAATTACCTGTATAGACTGTGATTCCATCTGGTGGCTTAACATTTTCAACTAAGAGAGGGTATTCTGCCGTCCATGCCACGCAGAGGGACCTATTAAAGTCATATTGGTAGGCAAAAAGGCTTAAGAAGCAATCTTCTATCTCTAAAGGGAGAATTAGGGGGACGGTGCCAAGGTGGGGTCGGGCACCGCCACATACATAACATGCTGTTTTATTATGTTTGTTGGCATTATATTTCATCCACTCTAACCACAAATTAATGTCATTGAATCCAGTTTCAGCGGCCATGGTATCTTCAAAAGTGGGGTTAGCGATGGCCATCATATCTTTAAAGGACTGGATATGTGGTTTTAGCGGATTTGGGACCATATGATCAGCCCCTTGCCACTCTGGAGAGTGGTACATATCTCTGAGGTAGAAATGACCTAATTTGTTGTAGGAACCTTTCTTCCAATACATTCCCATTACATATCGGTCTGCATCCTCGGGGCCAGGATGTTCAATATTTAACATTAATTTCATAGGGGTACTTCCTCCAGGCTTTCTTAAAGTCATTCTTTGAAGGAGGGATCTACCCTGATTGTCTATCTTAGATAAAGCACTTTTGGGTTTATAACCCCAGGCAGGCCCAGTATTCCATCCCGCAGCCCCCCAGTAGTTACAGTCGTGTCCCCATTGCTTGTCAACTACACAAACATAGGGGTCCTTTGCGTGTGGTATATCTTTGTAAATGGTTTGAATCTGTGACTTAGGGAATGGGCATTCTACAATATCACAGTAATCAAAGGTGAATGTAGCCACGTGGGTGCATGATGAGTTATACCAGAATGTGTACCCACTAGCATCTTTGGTAATGGCCACTTGTTGGGCCTCAAGGAAACTAATCGAAGGGATGATGTACCAGAGGTACATGGTTGTGAGGAGTCTGCTTCCTCTGGGACAGGAACCTTTTTGCAATGGGAGGCGTGTATCCAGTTGCTTTTCCAGCCAACTTGACGGAGGTGGAGGTGATCAGTAGAACTTGGAATGGTCCGTCAAATCTTGGTTCCAGGGTGTGTTTCCGCACAAATTTCTTGACTATGACCCAATCACCAGGGAGCAGACTGTGGTTGCCCGTGTCAGAATCAGGATCTGGAATTGAAGAGAAAACTTGGGCATGGATTTTGTTCAAAGCATTGGCAAGTTCAGTTACATAGTTTACTAAAACATCAGTATGAAGTTGTAATTGCTGGGGAAAATAGCAACCTAGCCTAGGTGCAGTCCCAAATAGAATCTCATATGGGGACAGTGAGGTAGTATTTTTGTACAAGAGCATTCATTAGATCCTTTGATAAATGTGCAGGTCCGTGTGCCCATTGTACGACTGCTGGGTACAAATTCTTAGGGAGGCAGAAATTGAGGTTGTTGGAGTACACTCCATCCTTCAGAACTGCCCCTTTCTGTTTCCACTTCTGTATTTCTTCAGGGGCAACTGTAGCCTGTTGTTCCCGCAGGATTTTCAGGTCAGTTGGAAGAGTCTGCAGAGTAAATATGGGAGTTTCTTCATTTCCGGACACTCTTCTTTCCACTTCCTGTGGTTCTTTTGCAGCTTGTTTTGCAGCCTGATCAGCTAGATGGTTGCCCTTTGCTTCATCTGAGTCCAACTTCCCATGTGCTTTTATCTTCAAAATAGCCACTTCTTCTGGGAGTAGGAGGGCGTCCATCAGCTCCTTGATTGCGGAACCGTGCTTGATTGGTGTACCGGCGGTGGTAAGAAAATCCTCTTGTTTTCCAAATTAATCTGAAGTCGTGAGCCACGCCCAGTGCATATCTTGAATCCGTGTAGATATTGGCGCGCTTTCCTTCAGAGATCTTGCATGCTGAAGTCAGGGCTTGCAATTCAGCTTCTTGTGCAGACATAGTTGATGGTAAAGATGATGATTTGACAATTTCATCTGTTGTGGTTACGGCATATCCTGTATGGTATCTTCCTTCTTCATCAGCATATCTTGAGCCGTCCACAAACAGGGTGAGATCGGGATCTACCAATGGGTCTTCATGCACAGTTGGTAGATGTGTTGTTTCCATTTTCATCTGTTCAAAACAGTCATGAGGTGTATTTGGGTCGTAGTCATTCACTATGGTTAAATCTTGGAACTCATTTTCCAGGAAATGACGTGGCCATGCTTCTAGGTGGTCAGTTGTTGGATATTTGACAACACCATTTTCCTGTAGCTGTGATTCGTCCATAGTGGCCCATGCTTTTGCCATAGGCCCAAGATCATTCCATGATATTGTTTTCAACTTGGTCACAGGGACATGTGGAATGGCAGTGTCCCAATGACGGTACAAATACTTGAGTTCCGGAGGTAGATGAATCAAGACCATACTGTTGCCTTCAGAATCACAGTAGAAGTCTTGTGCAGTGAGTTTTACTTCGACCAGATGATAGAGTTCATCTTCATAGCAGGGTTCAGGAGTGATGTTTGGTTTGTACCACATGGTACAGAAGGCATATCCTGCTCCGTCATGAAGGAGTGCTTGTCCATCATGAAAGGATAGGTTGGGATGCATTTCCTTCTTGATGGTGCCAGTGAGAAGAAAAACATAAGTTTCGTCCATGATGAATCCGTAGTATACACCCCCCTCAGGGAGTGGCAGAAGAGTGGACGGATTGAGAACTTGACATCTTTGAAGAGTAATGTTGTCAGGCAACAAAAGATGACATTGAAGGCGAAGATGCCTAGCAGGAGTAACATGCTTAAGTTGGACCTGGTTGACTATGGCAGAAATGTCATGAGGGGCCAAGACAACCAGGGGGTGGCCAAGGACAAGATCTCCAGTTCTTTCAATGAGCTCTTTGGCAGCAAAGACGGCCCGAAGGCAAGTGGGACGTCCTCTGGCCACAATATCCAGTTGGCAGGAGAAAAATCCAATAGGCCTTTGGCGGCCTCCAGGACCATGGGCCTGAGTGAGTACTCCTGTTGCATGGCCTTGTCTTTCAGAAACAAACAATTTGAAGGGTTTGGTATAGTCTGGTAGGCCAAGAGCAGGAGCAGAGGCAATAGCACGTTGGAGAGTGTAGAAGTTGTCATGTGCTTCTGAGGACAGACAGAACGGGTCTGATTTAAGAGCATCGTACAAAGGTTGCATGAGTAGAGAGGCCTCTGGGATCCACGCACGGCAGTAAGAAATGAGGCCTAGAAAGGCGTGGAGGGATTTAGGAGTTTTTGGAGGCGGAATGGCCAGAACCACTCCGACACGATCACGGGTGAGGTGTCTGGTGCCATGGGACAGGCAATGGCCTAGAAAGATTACTGTGGCCTGGCAAAATTGAAGTTTGGCAAGAGATGCCTTACACCCCTGATCTGCAAGATAACAAAGGAGGTCCAGAGAACATTTTCCTGTCGTGGGGATGTCATCTCCAAGTAAAATGGGAAGGGAACAAAGAACTGTAGTGTCTTTTCGTGACAAAGGTGTATTTAATTGAACCTGGCCGTCTGCAGTGAGGGTGATGGATGCTTGGAGGCGGGATAGGACATCAGCACCCAAGAGGTTAATGGGACATGGACAGGTTACTGCGGGAAATACCATCAACACCAACACAAGAGACATCGGTGTCAGACAGGAACGATGAGTCAGGCAGGTCTTGTTCTCTAAGAACACTGCGAGCTGCACCTGTGTCAACCAGGAAAGTGGTGGGCTGGCCCTCAATGGGTAAAATTACAGTAGCTAGAGGCCCCCTTGTTCCCCTGAAGACACTGCCATAACAGGGGCATTAAGCATCAGTGGGTTCTATCATTATAAATAATGGTTAATAGTAAGTGAAGTAAAGTTCCTAAATGTCTTTGGATAAAACATTAACTATTGCGGTACTATCATTTATATCAATTAGACTATAACAATTATACCACCCTGTAACTAAAATAAACAACCAGTAGTGGCTGGGTTAATAAAACATGTCACTAATCCTTCTAATGCTAAACCACCATTTAACGTAAAGGATGTTACTGTAAACATACGATCTGTAACTAGCAAGATTCGATTAAGCAAAGATACAATGTTTAAAATAACTTGCATTATTTGGCTATTTCCCTTGTTGCAAGATTAATCTGGATAATCAGCTGTTATGCTCTTATATTCGTATCCAACAGATCTCATTTGTAGGTCACACCACAGTTGCAAATGACATTTTAGCAACCTTCTTTTATTTTTTTTATATATATTATTATCACGGACACATTTTTGATACAGGGAAACAAATGGCATGATTGTTTTAGTAATTATAATGTTTCTGTTCATAATATGTATAGTGTAAGGAAAACAACATGTCTCTAATAGTGATGTCGCGAACCCGAAATTTTCGGTTCGCGAACGGCGAACGCGAACTTCCGCAAATGTTCGCGAACCGGCGAACCGCCCGAAACGCCATTGACTTCAATGGGGAGGCGAATTTTAAAACACACAGGGACTCTTTCTGGCCACAATAGGGATGGAAAAGTTGTTTCAAGGGGACTAACACCTGGACTGTGGCATGCCGGAGGGGGATCCATGGCAAAACTCCCATGGAAAATTACACAGTTGATACAGAGTCTGGTTTTAATCCATAAAGGGCAGAAATCACCTAACATTCCTAAATCACAATCAATATGGATTGACACCTGACATATGACATATTGACACCTTGACATATGGATTGACACCTGTCCTCAGAGCCCCTGATGCACACGGACACAGAGCAGAATAGAGACTGGTCCCCCTACATAGGGTCACTTGGCAGATATGGATTGACACCTGTCCTAAGGATCCCTGATACACACTGACACAGAGCAGAATAGGGACTGTTCCCCTACATCGGGTCACTTGGCAGATATGGATTGACACCTGTCCTAAGGTTCCCTGATACACACTGACACAGAGCAGAATAGGGACTGGTCCCCTACATCGGGTCACTTGGCAGATATGGATTGACACCTTGTTACAAACTGCTATTTGTAACGGGCCCTTTAAATGGCAAATTGCCCTGCTTCCCTGGGTTGTGGAGAAGCCTATTTGCCAGCCTCCTCCCGCATGACTATGGCCCCTGGGAGATTGTGAAAATGTATGCACTTTTATTTGGTGTGTATGGCCCTTTAAGACTGTCGGTGGGCATATTGGGGCTTATGGACTCTTTATGTGACTGGTGCTGGCCCTTTAAACACCTTTTTTGGGACATCAGGAAGATTGGGACACTGCCCCTTTAAGGCCGTGTCCCCAGACTTGTTGGGGACACGGCCCCTTTAAGACGGTGTCCCCTGTGTCCCCAGACCTGGTGCAAACCCTTTGTGCCTGCCTTGCTATTTCCCACTTGGTTCAGTAAATGGGAAATTATTTCAGCTGCAGAGACTAAGTCCCATTCGGCGATGGGACTTAGTCTTTTTTTCAGCCGTTTTTTTCAGCCTTATTTCAGCTGCAGAGACTAAGTCCCATTCGGCGATGGGACTTAGTCATTTTTTCAGCCTGAAATAGATCGACCTCACAGCCCAAATCTATGGAACTGTTTTGGGCAGGAAAATGTGCTTGCGGTCGGTCATAAAGGGACCTCCAGCTAACTTTTTAACCCCTGGATGGATTTGGCTGATTTTTGGTTATGTTTATGTTTTAAGTGTGCTGATTCCAAATATGTAATTATGAAGATGGGATGTGTAGTTTTAAAGTTACAGTGTATGGCTAAAAACTGTATTTTTACTGCCTGTGTTTAATTATGTTAATCTCTTCCCAAACGTCATTTCGTTCAAAGTGGAGAGAATGTTAAAAAATATATTTTTGTTCGGAGTGTGAGAAATGCTTTTCAAAGCGCATCAAATTTGAGGCCATACAGGAGAGAAACCTTATTTGTGAGCGTGTTTTACAGTACTTTATTTTTTATCAGTTTAATACCTTCGGCGTCTCCTATCAGTGGACGTGTATATGGCAGCCATTTTAGGAACCGTACACCTGGGACCCGAGCAAGGTCACCTCGTTCAACAGGCTTGCAGCGTATCCTCCAGGAAGAAGAGCCTGAACCCTTACCGGCTGCACGTGTCTTACCTGTACATGGAAGCTGCTGTGGTTCCTTGATGAGCCAGCTGCCCGTGAGTTAACATGTCCCGTGGAGAAGCACTCTGTCCTGTAAAGCCTCACCAAAAAAAAGGAGTGGTGTGTTAGTATTGTTCTGATCAGTTTAATACCTTCCGCGTCTCCTATCAGTGGACGTGTACACGGCATTGATTTTTGTAACAGGAGATGGAAGAAGATGCTTGGTCGGTCCTCTTAATTCAAATTTGGGGCACTGCGCGGTCAAGCTAATGTGCCACCAGATAGGAGTGGTGTGTTAGTATTGTTCTGATCAGTTTAATACCTTCCGCGTCTCCTATCAGTGGTCGTGTACACGGCATTGATTTTTGTAACAGGGAGATGGAAGAAGAGGCTTGGTCGGTCCTCTTACTGCAAATTTGGGGGCATAAAACATCAAGCTAAATGTGACCACCAAGATAGGAAGTGGTGTGTTTAGTACTATTTTTATCCAGTTTAATACCTTCCGGCGCGTCTCCTATCAGTGGTCGTGTACACGGCAGTGATTTTTGTAACAGGGAGATGGAAGAAGAAGCTTGGTCGGTCCTCTTACTGCAAATTTGGGGCACTGCGCGGTCAAGCTAATGTGACACCAGGTAGGAGTGGAGTGTTTAGTACTATTTTTATCAGTTT